TGTGCAAACGCTCAAACAATTCTGCCATGACAAACTATTAGCGGAGAAATAATTGTTCACTAGCAGAAAAATATCTAGTCCAGTTGTATTTCCAGGAAGTTCTTTGCAAAATAAAAACTGTTCAATTAACTCACTTTCACAAATAAATCTAACAAATGTTAGAACCTGAGGTTTCCTGGTAATATCTGTGGACTCGTCCAACTGAAGAGCAAAAAAATCTACTGTTTTAAGAGTTTTTAATAACTTGAGCTTCAACGTCTTTGGACATGTCTTCAATGCGCCTACTTATTGTATTGTCAGACAATGGGATTTTCCTAATTTCTTTTTCACATTCCTCACCAAACATAATTTTAACAATTTCACAGCAAGCTGGTAAAATTATTGATTCAGCTGTTATGTGTGATTTCATTTTTTTAGCAACTAATTCAGCTACAACGTAACTGGCCTCCTGTGCTTTTTCTGATACAGAAGAGAGTTTTGTAAATGTTGAAGCCTGTACGGATTGATTTAACAAAAGTCTTTTAAAATATTCAACCGGTTTTTCAGCAGCAAAAGCATGCTTCGTAACTAAATGTCACTTCAACTTACTTGGTACCATAGCTTCATTTGACAGCTGGTCACTACAAATTAGACAACGGGGTTTCGGCTCTTCTCCACCAGACGACGTAAACCCGAATGACAAGTAGCTGTCATGGTACTGACGAAACTTAACCGATCCACCATCGTTACGTTCGTTATGTTTTCGTTTTGTAGGCCTACTTGCCATAACTGTTTTGTTTCCACTAACGTCAGCACTACTAGTCTGTTCACTTGAGTTAGAACAGGTATTAACATCGTTTTTCTTTGTTAAATAACGATCCATGTCACACAAAATCAATACTAACCAAGTACAAAACAACACTAGCACTGACAGGTTAACTGACAATGAGTATTCTGTTCTGTTGCTATGCTATCGCTTCTCTACGCCTAGCGCTTACTAGTGGATGATTAGTGAACTATTGGAAGGCAGATATGCCGTGCGCTATCGAATTCTACCGGGAAAGATTCAAACTATTAGTTAATGTTAGAAGCGGAACGTAATGAATGGTAAGGAGTGAAGTGTCGTTCTAAACAAGTCACTAATATGTCTTCTAAATCGTCCTCAGATTCATTTTCAATAATTTCTTCTAGCACACTCTCAGAAAGTCCGGCATCATCACAAAATCTAACACCACTTGAAACTACATTTTGTATAAAGGTGTTTTCACTTGTAGGGGACGTTTAAAGTTTTTTTTCTTCTCATATTTATGTCAAGATATAATTAAAATAACCATTAAAAACATCATTCACTACAAAACAATCGCTTAGTATGAATCTCAAATCTAACCATCAGAGAATAACACACGTTATACTACATAGCCAATGTAAACAAAAACACTGGTAGGACTGAAGAAGATAAAAAAGCCAGCTGGCAACTGTCAGAAAGGCCATCAATGAGTGTTACCATGAAGCCTTATAGCACAGCCACCTCTAATACAAGGCCGCGACGTTCGAACTGGCAACGCCGCAATCACACCCCCTCTGCGTCCGTGTTTATTTGCTTGTAGGCCAATCTCGTACAATGAATGTGAAAATGTCTTGCAAAACTCCCAATTACAAATGAAAGAGTAAAATTTAAAAATAATATTGTTTAAATAAAATAACTTTCAATTTGAAATAATATTATTATTGTTTTAGCCTACCTGACGAACCATTGTCTTAGCTACGACAAAATTTTAAGTTTCCTTTTCTTGTTTGAAGGCCTACTGACTGAATCATTAATTTTTTTGGAATAGTTATTTAGCAATACGTTTGCCATTGTGGAAACAATCTCAGAAGCTAGGCCTTCATATGGTTTTCCACATTCATTGCATTTCTTAATCAAATTTACATTCAGACTGGGGTCAGACTCTAATGCTATCATTGTAAGATGGCGTAGTACTTGTTTTTGGTTAGTACTAGAAAGAAATATTTCTTCGTATGGCTCACATATTAGAGTATTCATTATCCCAATTGCATGTAAAGATAAGTTAACAACAAAATCTGAAGGCACAGAGAGCCCACCTCTGTTTATTTCTTTAAAGTACTCGTCATTTAAGTTATCATGTTCACTTAAAAGCAGCTTAGAACAACTTTGGCATTTAGTGTTGTGCACCAACTTAAAGCTAATGTAACCTGAAACGTACAGAAACCCCGATTTATCGAATTGGACACTATCTAAGTAATCTAATTCCAATACTTCATACAGGGTGTCTACCAACCGGGAAATCCGGGAAAACCGGGAATTGTACTTAATTTTTTACTGGCCATGAAATGTACGGGAATTGTCCTTAAATGCCAGACTATGTCCTTAAATTTTTAATGGGCCATAATTTTATTGATCGCTAGTTGGTTAGGAGCACATTAAAGGTTTATCAGATGTTTGTTTACATTTTCATAATTTATTACTAGAGTTATTATGCAATAAAAATCCCATTAGCAATTTCAAACCCATTAATATTTTATCACGACAATCAAGTGTCAAGTCAAGTACTTCCAAGAACTGTTGACTCAGTTATAGCTCATAAAAGTTGTATCAATTTTATTCCTTTACAACTTCTTTTTTTATTACTAGGGTAATTATTATGAGACCCCAAACCTATTTTATCATGAAAATAATAGCTTTATAATGGCTGTTAAATTTTACTTCTTACCTGTACTTTGGCTTGAAGATTCAATTTGCCGCGGCCATTGCCTAGTGCCATAAAACTGTTTATGGTTTCATATAAAACATGTAAATAATCTACAGTTTTATTTTGTAAGTTAACCCATTTTTTATGGATATTTGATCTTTTATTTGACAAAACCACAAGCAATGTTGTTTGCATTAATGTTTTATCACTATGTAGGCCTGCTTGGTTTCAAATTATGTCATTGCATTTTCTGTATCTTTGTCTTATATTGTTGGCTATTCAGGTTTCAATGTTTTTTGTTTCCCATATATTTATTTATTAAGTTGTATGCTTTAAGCAATCTAAATCTTATGAACTAGAATGATGATAGTGACTTTGCTGCTATTATAACCTCATTGTTTGTTACCCAGTTTATATAGGCCCTCCTAAATAATTAGGTCTAGGCCTGGGTATTTTGATTCTTGAAAGAGCTGTAAAATATATTAAGAAAATGTAATTGAGCCTAGATAAACAACTAATGATTGCTATGTGTCTATATTAACTTTGCAAATGAAAATACAATAATCTTACTCTGTGCTTATTGCTTATTGGTAGCCGCTTACCATACCTTGATTTTGTACTAAGAACTGAGTAACAATATGCATTAAAGATTTTTTTTCAAAAGTAGTCGAGAGCCTAACGTTGTGCCAGGGCGAATCATGCCAAATTAATCCGCCTGGATCGGATAAGCTATGTTATGAAGTTTACGTGACCGATGGAGATATTTGTCGCTATCGCAGGAGACAATGATTGCGTTTCTCTGTTACACTATAAAAGCTTTACCTAAAGGTAGGCCTATACTTTTTTACTTTCAATAAATTTCTATTTTGAAATTTTAACTCTTATCTATTGTTATTTACTGTTCTCTCTGGTACAAGTACAGTTAATAACAAGATTAATACAGTTTGACAAATCAGGAAAATTATTCGGTAGGCCTAATGACACCGACAAAGGTTACGGCAAAGTGTCCTTAAATGTACGGGAATTGTCCATGAATTTTTTATCCAGAATGTAGTAGACACCCTGTCATATAACTTGGAATCTATTTCCGTCGTCACATTTCCCTGAGTAACAGAGTCCTTACATTCTAGCTCCTTTAAATTTGCACATAATGCTACTTCCCCATATTTAGAAGAATGCAAACCAAGTAAACTTTTTACCCGTATCTTTCTTTCTGCTTCATATATCTGAATTACACTTATGTTATAATTCCCTCCTGCCATTTGGCGATACTGGCCAAACCTAGATTCAATATTGTCAGTTTGAAATTTACCTGTTAGAATGTAAGGTACTTGTATGTCTACTAAAATGTAATTTATGAGTTCTTTCATTGCTAATGTGGTGTGCTTTAGTGCGTTGTATGTATCTTGAGTTAAAAACCCTGCTTCATTTTTTGAGGCATACTCTTTCCATGAGTCCAACCATGCAAGGAAATTTTCAAAAAAATTTAATCGCTCGTCACTTATTGAGGTAAATGGTTCCTTTAAAGGCTCTCTCTTTAAAATAAAGATGAGAGGACGTTTTGCGTTCATGATTGACCACCAAGTAAAGATTATATGATCAAAGAAAGCTGTTCCAATAAATACATGTTTCTTTAAAGCCGAAATTGTTGTTTCATTGAAAACATTTACTACTAGATTGACTTTCTGTCTTTCGAATGAATTAGGGTACAATGTTTTGTGATTGAGGTGAGGTGCAGATTTCACCAACATTGAAGATTCTTTTGTATGTATAGTTCTAAGATCACTGAACTTAGCAGTAATAACATTATCACTAGTAATACTATCATTAGTAAGAGATTCACTAGATTTCCCTAAGTTTTCCCAAAAAGGAACACAAAAAGTCTTATCAATATCTTTCAAGTTTATCCAATTGTTCCTAATGCATTTGAAAATGTGCACTGTATCAAATAAAACATATATATTTTAGTTTGGTTTCCAGGAAATTCAAAAAACAACTCAGATGTTGAATCTTTAGTAAGATTGTTGAACATTACTCTGTTCACCCTGTTATTGTCACTTAGTAAAGCTAATACAGTTAATCCACTATCAACTACTTGTTTAATAACATTTTTAGCTGTGTCTGCTAAAAACGATCCTGTAAGTTGTTTAACTGGCACTAACCTGGCAACTTCCTTAAAATTACCAAAACAAGAACTTACTAAAAAGGCTACAACTGTTTTTGCAGTTTCAGCTCTATCGTTAGAGGCAATACCATATAATTTTCCATTTTTATAGTCAACACTCTCTCTAATATGTATTTCATCAACTTGAATATTAACATATTTCTGAATTGCTGTCAAGTCTTTAACAAGATGTTTAAACAAATTGTTTGTCCCGTCTTCATTAGTAGTTGATACATTAAAAGAAGTGCACATTTTTTCTAAATATCTAGGGTGAGGTAGACATAGGATGTTATTCAATCTTATGCTATTATAACATTTAGCAGATTGCATGTATATTAAAAATGCTCTTAATACAGTTTCAACTGTATACTTAGGCTTATTCAAAAATACCAAGGTAAACTGATCTCATAAATTCTTGAGAATTTGTAATGGATCTTTATTTTTACAACTTGTGTTTTCATCTTGCTCTTCCTCTAAAATATTAATTAAATCATCAAATGTTGTATCGATAGTTTTAATTAATGAATTCTTATTGCTTCTTAGGTTTTGCGAGTTCTTACAAAATTTAATAAGCTCTACAAATTGACTCCACTTTTCCAAGATAGAAGTAGGTAAAAGTGGGGCGGTACTTTTTTCATCCAATACATTTTTATTGGGAATAATGCCCCCGTTTTTGTGCACTTCAATACTAAGGTCCTTATTTACTCTGATACTGAAAGTTATTTTAGGTGCCTTAGAAATATCAATATCATAAACAATACAACAGTTATCATTCTTAAAAACAGATAACTTACTGCAGTCAATTTTAGAAGGAAGGTTGTTGCAAAATGAAGTAAAGTCCCCGACTTCGTTTTCCTTTGTTAGTCGAATTTCTTCATCCTTTTGACTCTTTTTTATCCTGTTACATTCCTCTTGCCTTCTTTCTTCAGGAGTCTTTCTCTTTGTCGTTTTTCGTGTGTCACTAAGATACGCAGGTAAATTAGGAAAAATCCTAGGCACAGCATTCTCACCTAAAACTGGCTTCTCACGTCTATATTCGCACCAATCACCGTCTTTATTCTTGTACTTTTCTACTAAACTAAGGTCATCTTTGTGAAAATGTTTCACGCAGACACGAGACCTCTTTGAAGGTGTCCAATCTGAACGAGGAATAGCGCGAATCCACTGTTGTTTACGCACCGGATCACTTGGAAACACAAAACACTGCGTGTATCCTTCAGTTTTAATCGAGCTCTCGTAATTGCTCTTGCATCCAGGAACAACACATCTATCTGGCATGATTCACTAGCAAGTTCAATGCCATAACTTAACGATTAAGGGTAGTAGAACGTGAATAAGTGTGTCGGTACGCGACTCCTCCATTTACTGTAATGGTAAGACGGCCGCGCGTCAAGACACCAATGCGACGTTGCCACGTTTCGCTCGCCGCGGCCTTGTATTAGAGGTGGCTGTGCTTATAGTGTCTAAACTACTCCTAAACAAAGAATTGAGGCATTTGGATCTGTGAGAAGCCAGTAAATTGACAAAAACGAGATGGCAGGCTATTATGCTTTTTGTATGTACCTATTATGTATTTTCCACCGGTCATGAGCATGTTTTACTGCGGGGTCTATTACGGCCGCCGGCCTTAAAAAGGTTAACATCCAATCCCAGGTACATGGTACATCACTTTATATTTTAATCATATTTTCTTGAGAGAGTCTAGTGGCTAAGGTGACACACTTTTAGTAGTCAACATTATCTGTTATAGACTTTGGTTAACTTTATATGGATTAAAAGCCTTTAGCCACAATCACTTTTCCTGTTTTGGGGCAAACATATACTTGTCTCATCTTTGTTCTAGAAATGTGAGATGGGCTTGCAAGAGCTTCTAAATCTCTCACCATCCTACTTCTCCTTAGTTTGGAGTAGGCCTATATAGGTTAATTAATTACATAAATACATCATGCTTTACATACATCCTTTTTTGTTTAGTATGGTTTTGTATTATGTTTTAGGAAAAATGTACCTGATTACAGTGCGTCAAGAGAGAAGAACGACCTAGGCTACCTGACATTCAACTTGAAGACTGATATCCTTTTCTGAGACTTCTTGACTAAAAATATTGGTTTTAGTAGTTTATAAATATTTTTTCAAAGTTTGCTACATTGTTCAAAGACAAACAGTTGGAAATAGCTGAATATTGATTTGACTTGCAAAGAGCCCACCCATCTCATCACATTTCATCCAAGCCAAGTAGGTCTAGTTTCTTTTGAAAAGACTTGTTCCAAATTCCATGTCACAGAAAATTATAAACCAACAATTTTTTTTTTGTGTGAATTTAATGAATAAAGCAGAACTGACAAACATATAAAAATTATGAACTGTTCAATCTGTCTTGTAAAGAATATGTCTGAATTCTTTATGGCCAATGGTCCGTTTGAACAATTCCAGTACTAAACCTAACACCTTATGTGTTCTTGGTCACCTGCTCACAACACTTTTCAAGCACAGCCTCAGGCCTTTTTTGCATTAAGAGTAGTTCAAAACATATAAATTTAGATAGCTATCGTTAGTGCATTTATTTTTAATTTTTATTAAGATTCCATTATCATATTCTTACATTTTTTGTAAAGGGAACCGTTAAAACATTGATACATTTATGCAACGAGCATTGATCAAGGAATTCCCATCACTCTGTTTCCTTTGAAGTAAAAATCACAAATCTGGTAATAAATTTGAATTGGCTTGTAATTTCTCTCCAACACAGATCTGATCGCAGAGCGAACTTCACCAATGGTGGGGTATTTAAGTATTTATTTACTAAGTAATGTTAATTGTTTTTGTATAAAATTAATCAAATTTAGAATTAGTTGTTGAAAAAATATATATAGGTATTTTATTGCAAGATGATTCCATTTTAAATTTATTACGCCTATAGTTTCCTTAATATCTGTGTACATCTCACTCATCTTTTCAACTGGAATGTGAAGCAGCTGTTCTTGTATCTGACAGCAGAATATACAACTTCCAACAATGTTCTCAATCAGGTAAGTTTGTACGTTCACATGTGCCTTACTTATGTATTAATTACAGACTTTAAAATATATCACATCTATAACCTATTATGGGGAGCGAGCTGGCGTAGTGGTTAGAGCGCGGGACTTCAGTCCCTGAGGTCCCGGGTTCGATCCCCGCCAAGTCACCAATGGATTTTATCTAAGTGATAATGCCGCAACCCCTAGGTCTAGCCTGAAGTAATGTGAAAAACAATCCCAGGCTCGTGCCTAGCGTCCTTAGGAAAAAAAACCTATTATGTTATTAAAGTGGTGCAAGTTCAGGCTTTGGTCATGATTAGGGGTCAAAATCACGAAATGGGATAGTTTTAAAAAACATTTTTTTAATTTTTTACTAATTAAAAAAAATATATATTTTTAGTAAAATACAATAAATAGTTTCATAATATATGCATCCAAGTTAGCAGCAGAGCTATTTTTGTTGTATTTTTCATTTTACAGGTGTTTTTAATGAGTGATGCAACTGAAATTTTAGCACCCGGTCACACCTTTTAAAGTTACCAAAAAAAAAAAAAAAAAATTCGATGAGCAATTTTAAAAATAAAGTCATGGTTGTATTCAATAGACATATTGTCAATGTATAAAAGTATTATTTATCCTTAAACTGTACAATTGACGTTAATAACCTTAAAAAGAAATGTTGTATTTTGAAATTTGTGTAATCAATACCACAAGTTGTGAAAAGGTTAGTAAAAATAAATAATTGTAATGAAAATTCACAAAAACAGCAAGCAACAACTTAAGTTGATAAACTAAAATCAAAATGGTATACACTTTGGAAATATAAGAGTGAAATGAAATACATTTCATTACCGTGACCGGAATGGAGCAGCTGTGACCGGACTGAAATGGCCGTGACCGGACTGAAGTGGCCAGCAGCGTTGATTTATTTTCACATTCAATTCTCCATTTTTTTTTAAGACAATCAATATTGTATAATTGGGGATAATGACTGAGAAAGAATACATGAAACAATGAAAGTTTTTATTTGTTTATTACTGCTTCCACAATTATTTTTTTGAAAATTTTAAAATAGGTTACTACATTGGTCATTAATCCTAAAATGGCCTCAAGCGACTAGTTTGGGAATGTCATAGTTAAATTTTCAAGCTGTCTTCTTAAACTTTGTTGAACACGTAATCGTCCTCAAAATACACAAAACATTTGTACTAAGTTCAATGTTTGTAGGCCTGTCAATTACAGTACAAAACATTTATTTATTAAAAAAAAGTTAACAATTTTAGTTGAAAGGCATGAAAACACTTTAAGACATTGTCCATTTTTACATTTTTACACATTGTCCAAAGGAGCCTCAGAAAACTTATAAATAATATGATTCCCTCGTAATATCATTGTTGGCATTGGCAGCACTTTGACAACTTGGCTAGAGCTCACAAAAGAAACATCACTTTCATCGGGGGAAAAATCAACCCCGGCGTATTTCTCACATGACTTCATAAACATGACTTCAAATTCTTCATTTATAACTTCAGTTTGGCTAATTGCCACAAAGCCCTGGCCTCTCGAAGTGCTTGGTCCCGCATGGCTGATCCTGATTAAGAGAAAAGTTCCTATTGTGATCCCCATTGCATGTGGTAAATCGACGTTTTCTTCACCTGAAAGTAAAACCATCTGACTGAAAAACATAGTAAACCATCTAAAATTCAAAAGGAATTAAAAATAATTTCTATTACATGAATTCAGCGTCCATGACTTCCTGACTGATGGCTAGTATTAATCTTCTCTGTGAACAATGAAATAAATTGTAAAGAACTTATGATTTTAGCTTTTTTATTATTACTGTAAACCAAAATGTGTATATGTATTTTTACTTTGGTTTAATAAATTTTATTTAATTACCTGGATTCACTGGTTCAAAAACGTCAACGTCATCTTTAAGAACGCCATTGTCATCTTCAAGAAAGTCAACGCCATTATCAAAAACTTCAACCCCATATTCAGGCACGTCCATGTTCTTCATATCGTAGAAGGACGTTTCTTCAACTTCAGGCATGTAGCAGTCGTCACTGTCAGAAGACCAGACGTTTTCAACCTTCAGCTTGCGTTTTAACACGGGTAGTTCAGGAAAGACCTCAAAAAGTCTGTAGTGCTTGCACAGGCTGGCCATGGGACATGTGAAACATGACAGCATGTTTCCATACATTTTCCCTCCTTTAACAAAAGTTATTTGAGTTATACCCTCAATTGGTGGAATAACGTTCCAACTTAATTGTTTTCAGAATTCATTGTCCTACTTCTGGATATTGCTTTATATTAATTAAATTATTATTGTTACCTTACAATATCCGTTTGGTGTTGGTGGATAAACAACTACATGTTTCGTGGCGACTGCCACATCCTCAGGTTATTCTCTTCTTAGATTCGTCATCAATTTAAAACATAAAACACAGAACACACGTAGAAAAACACATTACATTAAACATTTATTTTGATACCGTCACGGTGCGTGCACGCATTTGGTCGGGCCGGCGAGTCGCCGCCGGCCCGACCAAATGCGTGCACGCACCGTGACGGTATCAAAATAAATGTTTAATGTAATGTGTTTTTCTACGTGTGTTCTGTGTTTTATGTTTTAAATTGATGACGAATCTAAGAAGAGAATAACCTGAGGATGTGGCAGTCGCCACGAAACATGTAGTTGTTTATCCACCAACACCAAACGGATATTGTAAGGTAACAATAATAATTTAATTAATTGTTTTTTCTGATCTGCGATGTTCTTTGAACCTATCTCAATCAAATGGATGTCCACACCTGACAGGGCCTTTATGAAGCAACCTGCATCAGTAATGTCCTTGCCATGTAACACAGCACGGTCAGCTTCTCTTTTTAGATTCCCGCCCACGCCATCCATTGCTCCTTTACCATGGCCGGACTCCGTAAAATTCCATGTCATAGCCTTCAACTTAGGGAAAATAGTTGGAATGATGGTTTTAAATAGATATATGTTATTGCGGTTTCTATATTGAGTGGACGGAGAGTCGGAAAAAAATGAATTGCTTCAACATTAGGGTATTGGATTGCAGATCGTTTTAGAATGGGTTCAAGATGGGCCCAAATAGCATGTGACTGATGATCAAGAGTATTACTTACTGTAGTGAAACATGCTGTTTGCGGCTGGCCTTCATAGTTAGAATATCTAACACCAGTGTGTAGGGACAATTGCCTTTTGGAGGCTCTAAAGTGAACCGACTGTACCTCTTTAGCATATTTTGCAACATAATTTTTAGCAAAATCAATCCTGAAAAGAAGCTCTTTATGTTTTAGGTTTTTTAACTTTTCATTCAATTTGCTGTTTTGGTGAAAGGAATAATATAGGTGTTTTTTAAATCCGGCCACTTCTTTTTTGAAAAGTTTGATCAATTGCGTTACTTGTGTGACCTTATTCACTTTCGCAGTTCTTTTCACAACCTTCTTTTTGTTTTTTATCATCCTTTCTTCCTTGACATTTGTCCATTGGTAATACTTTATGCTGAAGTTACTATTATAAAAAAATGCCAACTCTTTGTTTCTGCATTTTTGGCATTCACCAAGCATACATGTTTTGTTTTTTACCGAGCAAACAAGTGATCTAATTACTTCTGTGGTGTTTTTTTTTCTATAACTTTCACTGCTCTCAATGATTGAATTATCAGACCAAAGTTTTTGTGTTTGATACATCCACAGGTCTCTCTATCGCATCTTTTTGGAAATGTGTCCCAAAATGGTCTAGATCTAGTGAAGGATGTTAATAAAATATTTTTCTTTTTTTCTTCCTGAAATCTTACATGGAGTTTTTTGTGTGTATCCAGCAAAACACACCTCTGTTTTGTGATTTTGTTACGTTTTATGACATCCCTCTTCATCTCCCAGGGCAAATTCTGCTGACAGAATCATTTTCGAAGAAAGTTATCAATTCTTTGGCCAAAGAACTCCTCACTAAGCATTTCTTCTTTCCCTTAGCACATTTGTAAGGTATTATTTTTTTTTAGATGCGTTTGTACTCTATACTTTTTTATTACATCGCATCCCACTTCTTTTCTTAAGTGCTGGACCTTCTTCTTCTGCCCCTTAATCTCTTTAAATTTTCCCTCTATTTGCTTTTGTAATGCATATCCTACAAATAGCTGCTTTTTTAATCTGAGGCGAGACAAATGTCTTTCCAACAAGGTTTGCAACCTTTTTTCTTGGTGATGGAGATGAAGTTTGTGTTACTGACTTCTTTTTTTGTCTTTCTAGTAGTTTTTTATACTTTTTCAGTCTTTGCTCAAGATCTTCTATTTGCTTCTGCTGTTTGTTTTTTCTCTATAAGCAGCACTTCTGTCTTTCCTTAAACAGCCTTCCTTCCCCTTTTCTTTTGGCTGGATTCATTTACCTGAATCTCAGCTGGTTCATCTATGCCTGGCGAATCTGGTGGCGTGTTGTTCAAGGCTAAGGCCAGTGCAGTTTTTTTTTCTTCTTTTTATATTATACTGTCTTGATACTGTCATAGAAAGCTTTAAACTCTTATGGCATATATCGGGACAAATAATCTAAATTCTTCTTTGCAGGCTTTATTCCTAAGGAACTGGTATACAAGTTAGGGAACGCTGCTACTTTTACAGGGGGGTAGAACCTTTTGGTGTTTTTGATTTTCTTTGCCAAACAGTGTGACCTCCATGGTTGCAAGACATTATGTGATGGTCTTGCACGTAGTGTAATTGGGTCGTCTGGTGATTTGGTACCATCCGTGGTCTGTTATGTTGAACTTAGTTGTACACAATGAATTCAAGACTATATCCATTTTTTTGAAGTCCTTGCCATCCATCACATTTACTACAAATGGTCGGGAATAATTCTTGGCGTTTACGATGATTTTGACAAAATAAAAGGGGATGTACACTTTTCTCCCTTTTTTGCTTTATCGATCATCGTAAAGTCTCGGTCACAAGGAAGGAAACTGTGGCCTGTGGTCAAAAAATGTTGTTCCACTGACGAAAAATATTCTTTTACAAGGAGATGTTTTAGCAAAGCAATAATGCGCAAGTTATTATTCTGGCCAACGAATCTATCGGACCAGATAACCAAGTTGCGTATTTCACCTTCCGCGAGTTAAGAAAAATGTAGAGTTATCTATTTCAAAACACATGAACCAAACTTTGGCTGAACCTCTTTTCCCAACAGTTTTATACCAAAACACATCATGGCCTAATTCGTACCTGCATTGTGTAAGGCTAAATTTTAACATGAAAGCTGTCTTTGATAAAATACATTGTTGTTCGTAAGGTTTGGACAAAAAAGAACCTGTTGAATATCAACACACAGCACAACTGTGTTTGGGTTAGCATTAGCAAAAGTAGTGTCTTCTGCCAATGACTTATAGGCAAGATCTACCTTTGAGTGGTGAAATTGACTTTCTCTTTCGACTGTTATTCTTTCGATCTCATCGTTAGCTGCTATTAATTTGATATAGAGCCGGTCGCAATAGATGCAAGTATCAGACCTTGGCACGCCAAACCTTAAATCAAAATTGGAATTAAAAACATCTCTATACATATGAAGAGTTAGTTACTTGTGTCTCAGGATGATTGATAACAAAGAGCTTCTACATTCTTCTTATTTTAAGGTTAGGGTTTAAGCAATTTCTTTACTCTGGGAGCAAGAGTAATGGTTTTCTAGCAATGTAAAAGACTAAATGTGTTGCCTAATTAGGTCTTTAGTTTATTCCGTTACTTTATGAGGGTGGTTCCAATGTAAACCTCGCCCATCAGACAAAGTTCTGTCAAATTTGATTTAACCACAAGTATCTGGACACGGCGTGGCGTGACATAAAAAATTGCACATAAGGTTTTTCTGCATACACGAATGTTGTTGTCTTTCCATGGTTTTTTCTCCTACAGTAGGTTTTTTATTGTTTTATTTTTGTTTTGAAGACTAGATTAAAGCTATTATGCTTCATAGACTTTTCAAAGTGTGTTGGATAGTGTGACTATTCAATACATACATATTTGGCCTTATTATCATTGTTCAGTTGACTAGTTTCAATGTTAGTTTTACATTTGTTCTTCTGTTTGGTGATGAGTCTGTTCACTAAATTGTCAACATAACCATTAGCCCTAGCGATATGTTTGATTATTGCTACCTCTGTATCAAAGTCTGATTTATTTAATGGTACACTTAGTTATCGAAAGTATCATTGAGTTGTAGGCAACAAATCACTGATTCAACCCAATCAGGCCTTCTGCTGGCCCGACCTGACCCAAAAAGTTGGGGACCTTCAGATCCCTAGTTTTATGACAAGGTGTATAGCTGTTGTAGTTTTTCCTTAAGTAGCTAATGCCTTCCCCCAAACGATCTTTTTATTGTAGAGGCCTACCCTTTGCTAGAACATGGATTCAATTTTCCCCTAATTAACATGAAAACCAAATTGCAGCCCCTCCAGTTCCTTCATTGACTATATCCTGAGACCTTATTTGTGAATTGTGGCGCTTTTCTTCGTCGTACCTACTGGGAGAGGACAAAATTTTCTCTTCTTCTATCTTAAGATTTTAGTAATCTACAATTAGTGCTATTTTGTAGAACCTATCCTTGGTTCTGGGTGTTCCTCTGTCGCCACACAAATAATTACTGATAAAGGCGGTGAGTTGTGCAATAGTTATACAAACGATTTAGCCTTGTGCTTCCTGTGTGGAGCTGTAAGTAAGCATAAGGAGTTTGTCAGCTCAACAACGGTGTCAGCACTTAGTCTACAAAAAAGTGCCATAGCATATTAGAGAATTTTTTGCAATGAATACCACATCAAAAGTAAAATGAAAACAATCACTTGGAGTATTACCATTACCAGGTATTGGAACCTTAAGTACAGATCACATCACTAATGTTATGATGTCTATTTCAGGTTGTCTTATGGGACAAAATCATTTTAAGAGGTGAAAATGCAGTGCTGGATTTTAAAAATATGAACACTAAATATTACTTCTGGGATGATGGAAACGGTTTAAAGTAAGTTACAACCAGGAAATTTTTACTTTTTGATCAAATATGTATCTGTGTTTAAGATTTTCTTAGGTTTAATAGGCTTATCTAAAGAAAATAAAAAGCCTATTTCGTAATTAAGTTAGTACATTTTTTGTTTAACCATGTTGAAAATGCAACAAAGTCTTTCAAAAAATACAGTAGAGTTCCACTCATTTAACAGTAAATGGAACCAAAATGAACTTGTATAGGCCTACATCAAAAGGTATTAAAAAAAATAAGAATTTTTATTGACTCTTGCCTACAAAAATAATTTATTCCACTGATAGTTTTTAACCTGTGTTTTGAGTTTATTTATGACTTTTCTAAAGAAAAATACCCCCGCCGAAGCAAACCTGCAGACCAATCGAATTTTAATTTGCCTGATATGATTTTCAATTATTAAATCTATTTATTTAAATAATATTAGGTTTAACGAGTAGGCTATCTAGGTTTACTACTGCTTCAGGGAGGCTAATAAAGTGTGTTTTAGTAAAATATCAAAAGCTTAGTATAAACTAAACAAGATTGCCAAGTTTGATAAAAATATACTTATAAACAAGCAAATTACAACAGATCACAATATTCTCCATAAGAATAACATGGAAATTTTAAATTTACATTTTTTTTTTTTTTTTTTTCCGTAACTAATAGTTTTACAAAAACACTTTAATAAACTAAATTAGGCATATTTGTTTTTAGCGAATTTCCCATATAGGGAATAAGCTTTTTTAAACTCTTCAAAATGGTCTAGAGAGAAATTGGAAAATTTTGTATTTCAAAAATTAGAGAACCTCTTTTTTACCCCGTAAATCCCCGTTTCCTTTGGTTTGATATGCTGGTTTGCGAAATCCTTCAAGTTTATCCCGCTTTCAAGCTAAATTACTCAAAATCGCACAATAATTACTCAAGTTATCGCGTTTACGTACATAGCTACTTCCCTATAGGGAAATTCACTGAAAAAGGATATTTTAAGTTTTTAGGGATTGCTTGGGTTAACTGACCTTTAGAGTTATTTGACCTAGGTCCAGTCCCGATAGGGTCAGTTAAGTGTCTACTGTAATTCCCTCTGAGTTGCCGGCACAGTATTCCCTTAATTTAACTGTTAAATGTATAAAGTCAACATTTTTTCCTAGTTTCTTTTAAACTTTTCATTAGAGCCCCTTGGTTAATTGGCTGAATTGGGAAAGTCACATAAGGGGGTAAGAAGATCACTCTAATGTCCTTACCTGCAAGATCCTCAGAGTCCAGGAGTAAGAGTGCATTGTCTAGCAGCAATGCGGTGAGTCAGTAGTGCGATCTTGAGCTGATCCATTAGGATGGCAAATCGATAAGGGAGTGTTTGTCAAATAAGGGTTGGTACTCAATATATTATCTTTGATTTGTTGTTACAGAAGTAACCCAAATGTCACATTGACTCTGACCTGGAACATCATCCCCAACGCCGGACTGCTGCCCAGCATCTTCGCGCTCGGCCACCACTCGTTCAAGTTCCCCAACGAATACACCACTTCGAGGCTGTGAGCTCACCAACAGTAACAGCTGTAACAGTATTCCTGAGGACTTGTGTTATCTGCACCTGTGTCGGTCAAGTTTTTTTTACACTTAGAATGGTTGTGTTTATTGAAGTACTTTCACTTAGTTGGTTTAATGTGGTCTTTTTTGTCATGACACTTCAAAATGTGAAAAGGTTATAAAAATGTTTTAAAATTGTAAAAAATAATGTTAAATACTTACTAAGCTTTGGAAACATAGCAATCATCTCATAATAACAAAAATGTTTGGATTTCTTAGTCTAAGCTAAGAATGAATTTCTCATCTGTTAGCGTTTTGTTGGGTCATGTGAAAGATCTTCCCATGTTTAAATTATTGTATATTTGTTAGGGTTAAATAAAGACATTTTCACTAAAGTTGTCAGAGATTTATCTAAAATCCATTCTTTCCCAAAGAGATGTTGATTCTAATATATGGTAGAATAATTTTCTGTTTGACAAAAAACTGGAAATGAAAAAAAAAACACGGTGGTGTTGCTTGGTAAAATTCCAAGGGGGGGGGAGAAGCCTAAATTTTCCCAACTGCTTAACATAGATTTCCCATCTATTTGTTATTTTAAGAAACAATTTTGTACTATTTAAAAAGTGTATGAATTATTATTCTATACTGCAGTCACACTCAAATAATACAATTTTCACAACACTATGATGTTTTTAGCTTTTTTACATACATTAATTGGTGGCTGAAAGTTACGTTTGGCTGGCCATGCCAGCTGTCATCGTCATTGAGAACCAAGCTGGTTTTTACATCCCTTGGCGGGCTGCAAAATCAGCTGCCCGCTTACTTTCTTAAAACATGAATGCATATTAAATGACCAATCAGTATCCATAGCATTTAAATAGAATTATTTTATTGTCACCGCTGCCTAGCAACTATTTAATACTAGCATAGTACCCGTCCTTTGTACGGGGTTAGCATATAAGTATAAAATGCATATTACAGTTATGGGAGGGGACACAGTTTAAGAAAATTTGCCCTTTTAATTTAGAAGGTATCCTATAGTGTAGCACACATCTACCATAGCCCTAATGTTCTACCACTGCACCTAAACCATAGAAAAAAGTAAAGTTCTCATTGTTTACCACAACTTTTTGACCCAAAAGACGTCCTAATGTGGTTTTGTGTCAAATGCTCGTTTATTTTCAAGATGAGCTCGTTCGCATCGCTCAATCACGTCCTGGTTGAAGTTTGTTTGCTACGCTTACTCACCTTTAGGTTGTAGCTTGCTCGCTGCGCTCACTTGCCTTCAGGTTTTGCTCGTTCGCTACGCTAATTCGCCTCCAGGTTGAAGTTCGTTTGCTATGCTCACTCACCTTTTGGTTGCAAATAGCTGTTTTTATAAATTTAAAATAAATAATAGTGTTGCACCCTGTTGGTAAACATATTAACTTTTTAATGCTATTTAACATCACAGAATCAAATTGTTTAGTTGAACCAGCTGTTAAGATTCTTTAATTCCATTTAAATATAAGTACTCATAAGGTTAACATGGGGAACTACAGAGCCACTGGGGCGAAGCCCGAAAGGATTTTTGAGATAAGAATGTGCCTAAATGTTTATCGGGAATGTGAGCTATCATCATGGCAAATTTCAGCCCAAACCGTCCAGTAGTTTATGCGTGATTGAACAACACACAAACTCACAAACTTTCAGATTTATAATATTAGTAAGATTATTTTTGCTGATTCCTCAAATTATTTCTTCACATAACCTTAAAGTTGTAGTTGTGTTAACTATCAGTGTGCATTATTATTGTAGTAATAGGGTATAGTGTGGTAAAAAAAAACGTTCGTACCACGGACCAAAACTTTTTTTGATCCGGCAAAACCTCATCGGCCCTAGGTACGAAATATATTATTAATAACTCTACAAAACTTGAATGAGTATTGTTTCAATCCAATAAACTTTACAAACCATTTTGGTTGCAGTTTTGGGTGCAGGAAACAAAAATCGAACTTAGATGTCAAACTAAACATCAAATTTTAGGTTATGTTTTCCATGTAGATCTGTTTCAGAGTGATAAGTTGATTCATTTGTGTAAATCCTTAATTAGGAATGATAAATGACTTTTGTAGATTTTTAAAAATGTATTCAGAGAATGATCATTTCATTTAAGTTATAAAAAAATAAGAGTTTTAAAGGTAATACCGATACACAAAACATAACTTTAATGTTATTTTAATCTATTTATTAGCAAGTACTCCTGTTAGTCAGCCTTCTCCAAATACTACAAAAAAAGGTATAAAATATATTTAATGTGACTGACGTGTAAAATATTCTTGAATTTCTTGTAAACAATACAAAGTTCATTTCAACCATATCACAATAAATTCTTCATTTAGATTTCCAAATTAGGTCCCCGAAGACTTGTAGGAATAATTGTATTATATTTTTTTTCTAGTAAACTATCTCTCAACATACTTTTATCATAGCCATTTGTTAAATCATTTAAAGAGTAAGACAAGTAGTTTTGAATTGACAAGTCAGACCTACAGAGCCATTCTAAAAGATAGGCAACATTTTTTAAGCCACTTTAATGAAGGTGATGATAATATAGCTCCACCTGAGCGTTTGCAGATTTTTCTGAGCGCTTCTAGAGCTCTGAACCTTCAATTAAATTAAAGTAATCAGTTAAAACCGTAGAACAGCTTTCGTATCGACCCCTGGATTTTATTAGCTCCTTCTGAGCACTCTGGGGAAGAAATTCGAATGTGGCTGGTTCTAGGAGTAGGTCTAGCCTGTTTTGTGAATACAATTTCATTCCCCCTTAGAATTTAAAACACTTTTCTGGCCACCCCTTCCAACTAAAAAAAAGAACTTCAAAAAGAAAGAAACACGATTGCAGCGTATTACAATGTAAATGATCACTGTTTTACAGGTTTTCGCTCATGGTCTGTGTGTACTGTTAACCAAGTGACAGCTGGTCTATGTGTAAGATTCAATTGTATACCTCGGTCTGTGGCAATGATCGCGGCATCGCATATATGCGACGCGCAGTAGCGAACGTGTTAACCATAAAAACGTATTTGGAATCTATTGAGGGCCTTATTTAATATAATGGATTATTGAATTAAAATAGTAAAATGACTTTAATTTCATTTTTTCGCATGGGTAGCCTCCGGATTATCAAGATACAATTAAAGTGGTTTAAATACCTGTAATGTCGATAATCCAATCGGTTGTGAAACAACTAGTTTCGGCTCACAAAGGAGCCTTCTTCAGGTTTTCCCAAGGACATTGTCACTTCTTCTGAAGGTCGTCAAAGATCACAATATTTGCAAAACACAAAAAACATTTAAAACACGTTACATGCATGCCTAGGCCTAGCTTTAACGATGTGACTGGCGGGAGTTTACGTCTAGACTGCCGGGCACTATGGTCGGTGCGTCTTATCAGTAACAGGTTGTTTGTGGGTATCATTCTTCTCCCTCTCCCTTTCCATTATTTCTATTGTAGTGTTGTAAATGAAATTAGATGAGAATGAAAGCTTGTTGTTTAGCACGTTTTGTTTGTCCAATTTGACTGCCTTATAAATTTTGTTTTTTGTATCATCTCCACTTTTTGTATCATCTCTGTGATATTGTGTTCAGGAGTGACATTATCTTTCTTTAAGGCTTCCAGCATGAGTCCCATGTTGCAGTGTTTAATACAAACACAGGTATCTCTGTCAGACCTCTTAGGAAACGTAACCCAGAATGGACGTGATCTGCAAAACATTGAAAAAGATATTTTTGTGTTGGTTTTACCGACAAAACAATTGTACAAGCTTGTCATAGAGTCCAACAAGATTCTGCGACGTTTTTTTACCTTGGCTCTTACCACAAAATCTTTTTCTCTGGGCACATTCTACTTGTCGTGTCATCTTCAAAAAAGTCAATCAACTTTCTTTTTTCTTTTTGTTGAACGCATTGTCTTGTTTTTCTGATGTATTCAAAATTTTGTTCTTTAAGTTTTGCGTTCACCCTGTAAGGCACCAAATGTTTGAAATACTTTTGGACTCTATATTTGTTTAACACCTTGTTTCAAAGTACTTTTCGGGCAGCTTATTTTTTCTTTCTTCCACCTTTTGCTTCTTCGATCTGGCTCTCAACTTGTTTTTGAAAGGCTAAAAACAATTGTTTCCTTACATTTGGCAAAACTTTCTCTTTCCCTAACAGTTCCTGCACCTTTTTTCTTGGAAATGGTGAAACATTTGGTTTTAGTTTTTTTTTTTTTTCTCTGGTATCGCTTTTTGTACTTTTCTACTTTTTATTATATTTGTTTTTATTTCGTCGTCTTGTTTTTAATTTTTTTATAGGCCTTCGCTCTGTCCCTTCTAACTTGCTTTCATCCTCTTTTAGCGAATTTCCCTATAGGGAAGTAGCTATTACCGTAGGTCTCATGGTAAGACTTAGGCCCGGGACCGATTTACTTTTTCATTTTGATGTCCCCAGAGGCCAAAAACACCACTCGTTCAAATTTTTATATATGTATATATATATGTGTCCGTGAACACGATAACTTGAGTAATTTTTATCCGATTTTGATGAAATTTGGTTTGAAGGTGTAAGGCGGGATAAACTTGAATGAGTTCGCGATCCAGCATGATCGGACCATGGGAACAGGGTTTTATGGGGGGTTTTATGGGGTAAAAATAGGTTTTTCTCACTTTTGACCCTCAAAACACAAAATTTCCCAATTTTTCTCTAAACCTTCTTAAAGAGCTTAAAAAAACAAACAATTCAGTATATCAAAGTGTTTTTGTACGGTTATTGGTTACGGAGAAAACTAAAAAAATGGTAAATTTAAAATTCCCATGTTATTCTTATGGAGAATATTGTAAAATGTTGTAGTTTGCTTGTTTATGGATATCTTTTGATCAAACTTGGCAAATATATTCATTTTATACTAAGCAATAAGTATTTTACTTAAAACACACACTTTATTAGTTTCCTTGTAGCAGCAAACCTAGGTACTCGTTAAACCTAATGTTATTTAGATAGATCAATTGAAAATCAATTCAGCCAAATGGAAATTCGCTTAGGCGTCAGGTTTGCTGCGGCGGGGTTATTTTTCTATTCTTTTTGTTCATTTGGTTCATCTTCCATATCAGATGCAGTGGGCGTGTTTCTTATAGCATGCTCTTTAGCCTTCTTCTTTTCTCTGTATTTTTTTGAACTCTTCCTCCAATATTTTCGCAGTTTCCTCTTCTCTCTTGGTTTCTTGTCGGCAATTCCTTTGATTGGCTTTGCTTCATTTAGTCTATAATACCTTTCCAAATCTTGTTCTAGTTGCTCTTCAGTAAACTTGCTTCGTCTTTGTCTTTGCTGTTCTCTTTTCCTCGCCCTCTGTTGCTCAAGGGTTGTCTTGGCTGATG